TTAGTTGCAGTTCCAGCTTCATGGCTGAGGGGGGGGTCACCCCATAACTTCTTTGTTCCTCTGCCAGCAAAAACCACAGAATGCCACTTGTCATCCCTTATGAAAACTATTGATTCAGGCTTCAGTCTCTGCAAAGCCTATAGTGTACACACACATTAATTGCATATGACAGCCGTCAGAGGTGCCAACAACAGTCTGCCATCAGAAATGCAGATGGTGTTAATGTTTTGGTGGATAATACCCAGTTAAACTTCACTAAATGTTATGTCCTGGACTCTTTTTGTGTGTGTGTTTTTTTTTTCCAGTTTCCTTGCTTCTGTTTGCCAGGCAAGCTCTGCACACTCCCTCTCAAACGAATCATGACAAGAGGCAGATCAAGGCAGCTTCCATGTGTGTTCAGCAAAGGCAGAGATTCACTAAAAACCTGCACCTCACGCTGTAGTAATGAGCAATATGATATTCTTACTGATGCCTGACTTGCCTGGTCTTCTGGTTGTTTTTTTTTTTTTTTTTTTTTTTTAACTGGATCAGTGTTTCCCATTTGGTGGTATGTGATGGTGGTACCCCCAGGAGTCAGTTGAACAAATGTAAGGGATCAGTGATGAAATCCTAAGGAAAATGTTGGAAACAGCAGCTCTGGAAGACAACAGAAGAAATGGTTTGGCCATATAACGTGGATGTCAGCAGACAGTATACCACAGCAAGCAACAATGTACGGACCAGCTAGGAAGCAAAGAAGAGGCCGACCTTGCATGTGATGGACAGAGAGAATATCCGAGTCTATGGGAATGCCCATTTACGAAGCACACAGACGAGCGTTTTCTTGTAAATTATGCTTAACCTTGAGGCCGCAAGGTACCAGAGGATCAAGATGAGTGAAATCTTTTTTTTTTTTTTATTATTATTATTGATAGTCGTTCCCATGAGGGATGCAATTTTTTTTTTTTTGTTATTTGAATCCCCACCCTGGCTTTTGCCACAGGCCCCGGATGTTGCCAGGCCATAAATATATGGCCTCACAGCTGAAAGGGGTTTCTAGGAACTCTCCACGGGTGATCCTCATCTGCGTGGTGGCACTTTGTGTCACCGGGTGTTTATCACTTGTTTGATGTCCTGGTGGGGTACAACTACCTACCTTCCTACCTAAACTCAACTTTAGAATGCAATTCTTTTTGCAGTTCTGACATTTATCAATTATACCAAGTTCTTAATTATGACTTCAAAAGTTTGGGGACCTTTGAAAATGAGGGTCTGCAGGTTTGAGCTAACTGGGAACCACTGAACTGGATGATTTGTGCATGTTGACAGAAACTCTTATGCAAATGCTGATGAACTTTTAGTTTAATGTTCGTTTGGTTTGTACCATTTGTGTATCATCATTCCATCATTGAACGTACACTGTTTCCACACAAACACATATTCATGTTACATACTATGAAACCTACTTCCGGTTTCCTTTTCTTTTTTTTTTTTTTTGGGTAATGAAAGCTTCACATGTAATAATGAAATATTCAATTACTTTCAGAGTAATAAAAATGAGAACATAATTTTACTGGATTTTGGTTTTCATTGCTATTGCTAATCTTCATGTCAGAGTACATCTGTTTGAAAGATGAAAAACCAACAGTCTGTTAGCAGATTAAGTCAGATCTGTAAAATGGATGTACATACACAACTCAAGTTCTGGAACGAGACTCAAGTCCAGGAGAAGATGACCAGTCGGAACTTTCCGCCTGCGTCTCTTGATGGTGAACATGAAGAACTGGTAATGCAAATAATGAGGAAATGGTAATATGAATTGCAATTACATTCTACGGAGCTCCATAGAGGGGGGGAACTTTGAATACAGAGCCTGACTGAACAGACCTCAAACATCAAATCAGTCGCATTTTCGTAGAGAGAGCTGATCAGTCGACAGCAACTAGTGAGCCAATGGTATGCCGTGTTATGTGACTATGATGATGATAATATAGAAGCGACCACAAACAAGAATACAAAACAAAATCATGTGCACAAATTATAATAGACAAACAAACAAAAGCAAACTTAGGAAAAAGCTTATTGTTGTTATCGATCCAGAGGCGCATGAGCTTTGGCCCGATGCCATGTAGTGGAATTTGCATGTTTTCACAAGCTGTTCTTTTCCTCCGTACAAGGTGTTCCACTTGTATGGTCTCGGGGGGGGGGAGTAGCATTCTTCTAGTCTCGCTGAGTTTTGGGCACTCAAAGAGATGGTGTTCAACAGTTAGGTAGGGGTAGTTATATAGCTGGCACTCTAGGGAGTGTGGAAAAAGCTTATAAAAAGATTGCTGCTGCTTCAGTCCTGGTGTGCTGTTTCCTCAGCAAGGTGCTGTCGTTTTTTGTAGGGAATAAGTTTGAATCACAATAGGCTCACGTGATGGGACCCATGCTGATGTGTCGACACACCAAAAACATTGGGGGGGGGGGGAAGGGGGTGCTTCTTTATCCTCTGTTCACCAACTGTAAGCTCCAGCAGAAAGTCCTGGTTGTTCGTCCATTGGGACTTTGGCTTTGTGCCAAGGCCTGAGTTTTGCGTGTACATTCATTTTACTGAGCAGTTGGTTGTTCCTTACTGCTCGGGCAGGTGCACTCTGACTTCGAAGGAAATCCCCAGTTAGTTGACCCCTATGACATGCTTGTTGGGGGTGGGGGGCAGTGAGTCTATTTTTGTTGTCTCCACAATGGAACCCCAGAAACAAAACGGGGAAGTGGGTCTTCAAGAGGCTGACGTCTTGTTTAAGTCTATAGTAATAAAAAATATCGTGCTGAATTGTCCAAAAATGTAATATACTTAAAATAATATGAAATGTGTTAATCATCATAAGGTGACTTGCCGATGGCTGGGGCTAACATGCCTCTCTACAATCTGCGATCTCCTGCAGCATGTATCAGTTCCTGTGCCGACACACCTCCATGCCATACAATACAGTCAAGAATCTTCTCTCGTTGTCTTCCTTTATCCCTCCTTCCACAGATCTTCCTAGTGGTCACAACATGTTCTATTTTCCCTCTTCTCACAACTTGGCCGAAAAATGATGACTGTCTCCTTCTGATGTCTGTGATAATTTGTCTTCGGGCCTCCGCCTCTATAAAACCTCTTGGTTGCTCTTTTTTTTTTTTTTTCTGTCCAAGGTATTCTAAACATTCTTCTGTAAAACCACATCTCTGAGGCTTTATGTGTTAATAAATACTTTAAATGAGAACGTCTATACAAGTTTACCCAGTAACTTAGGTACCTTCAGCTCAATCTCTCCCCCAAAATGTCTCCAGAAAGCGGGCGGGAGGGTAAATGGGAGCTCAAGGTGGTTGAGCTTACATGTTCAGGCGCCCATGGTAGTGATGTGGCTGAAAGTCGTGGGCTCGTTTCACAAATTAATTTTAAGCTGATCAATGGATTTTTGCGAGGATCGTCGCTGGAGCTGTGGATTTGCTGCTTTGTGTAATGCTCACAACCGACAGGCTAGCTGTTCTGCAGAGAGGTACCAACCCGTATTTCAGCAGGCCAAATTAATCACATTGCTGTGTAAGTAAATGTCCCTTAAGACTCCAGAGGCATATCGGGCAAACGAGGACAGTCTTGTATGTTTTTAGACCTTGATGTGTGATGTTGTCAACATCAAGCCGCCCGCCTTTACTTTCCAGGACTTTACCTGGTACCTATTTAAAGCTGGGTCGATCTGGGAGCCAAGTTCATGTTTGAAGAAACAAAAAATCGGATCTATTCATGTGCAGGCTAGGAACTGTATTTTACCTACAGACAGACAAAATCCCTATGCTTTTTGTCTGAGAAATGTAACAGTCGCATGATTTATGAGGAGCATGTACTTGACCTTGACCGCATTCTCTAAAATAACAAAATAACACCAACTACGTATGATAGAAATCACACGGCATTTATTCATATTATAAAATGGTACTTAAGATTCCGAACATCGTATCAGTCAATCAGGCTTTCCGATATGTGGGTATAATAAATATGTTTGTGTGTGTGTGACTGTGAGTGCCAGGCCTCATCGCCCAATGAATGCCCCATAGATCTATTTAAAAAAAAAAAATATGGGACTAGTGTCACATACTAAATGCCTAACCTAACATAACGCTTGACCCGTTAGGGATTTGGAGGTGTATCGATAGAACCACAAGCACACAAAACCCGCCATCTTCCTCTGTCTTCCGCTTGAGACGAATAAGTTTATGATAACTTAATCGTGTCCATTTCTTGATGTTGTCATTCCATGTTTTTTTTTTTTTTTTTGCCCTCCTCTTCTTCGACTACCCACCAATGTTCCTTGAAGTAATGTCTTGCAATTGAATCATGTCTCACCAGGTGCCGGAACCGACTTAGCTTGCGACGTTTCACCATTGCCAAGAGAGGCTCCTAATGTCCTGTATATTTCACCGCAAATTCCACATACTAATACTACTTTAATTATGGGGATCGGTCGATCGACAGAGTGAAAAGAAGACACGAAAAAGATGGAGCTACATCGTCAGGAGAAACCTAACAGAAAAAAACACCAACTTGTACAATGTATGGGGAAAAGAGCACAAATGATTCTTACAACTTCCCCCAACACCTCGCTGAGGTAAATGGTGGAAAAGAAAAAGAAAAACAAGAGGATCGATCGATCATTGTGTCCCCTCCAGGTTGCTACCTAAAAGTTTACCATACCATCCTGAGATTAAAACATCTCAACCTGGGTGGTAAATCAACAAGTCAGAACCCAGATACCCCCGTCAACCTCCAGAGAAATTATAATTATGGCACCCGTAACGACTTCACCAGCCGGGAAAACCTGCAGTCTTATGATTGTATGAACCAGTTATGGGGAAACGCCCTTTACTTATATTTGTGTACGTGCGTGAATGCATGTAAAAACATACTTTTTTTTTCCACGCCAGCAACTAACTATACAACACAGTAAACTGACGTTCATTACAATTATTCACGGTGCCCTCCCTGGCAGCTGTACTGTCAGTTAATGTCTGGCCTGAAGACGAATCCTCTTTTCAGGTCCCGCCAAAAGCAACCTGCAGACGACAACGCATTGGAGTTTGAACAACGGATCAACTTCATGGCACATGGGTAGTAACCCAAAAGTGCACCGTTCTTTCTCCTAACTTGGATCTGAGTTCGAAAAATCTCAGCACAGTGCACAGGCTCTGCAGCACCGGCGAGGATCCTAAAATACTTGGGTAGATTACTACAAATACTAGGTAGATTTTTAACTCCAAATTTTCCCCGGGCGGCGCCATTAGGCTACTCTTTTCGATTTCCAACTGCAGAGGGATTTTTTTGCGTGCGCAACAATGCACACGGGCGTTTCATCTCACTACCTGGAGACCAGGGGAATTACTATAAGTTCAAGTCCACGTGAGCAAACCAGTGTGCTGGAGCTCCTACGACAGCCACTCACAAGAACGAAATGTAAAAGGTCGATAATAATTATTATATTTATTTTACTGGCATTTCAACCAAACTGGCGTTGATACGTGAACACAGATTAGACGGCACGGTGTGAAATTACTCCGAACTACCTGTAAAGTAAGTCACTGCACAAAGATTATAAATACGTGTTCTTCTATCTTTCTACTTCTTTCTATGAGTGCCGATCACAATACTTTCTGTTACTTGATTAATGGACAAAGATTAGCATGAAGCCCCCCATGATGGTGGGGAAATAGACTAGTATCTTTCTAAGAAGGGTGTCGTTAGAGTCGACTAGTTAGTGGTTTCCCTGAGAGGCCAGGAGTCAGCTTAGCCACCGCCTTCTCCATAAATAGAGTCGATGGTGGCTTAGCCACGACCGGCTCCAGCTAATGGGCCGTGCTGCTGACGTCACCTGGTCGGGCTAACGTTGCGTCGAGGGAAGACAACTTAAATTTTTAACTTTTAAATATCTACATACCTTCTTTAATAATTTCACAATTTTTAATGTTTAGCCGACTTTTCTTGATTATTGCCGCGGCATCCATGGCATACATTCACGCCAGGTTGTCTCGGTGCCAAGTTTATGAACCGCTGCGTTAACACATTGTTAGCCCGATCCGGTGACGTCACCAGCACGGCCCGTCAGCTAGAGCCAGTCGTGGCTTAGCCACGTTTTAAATTTATAGGCAGGTGGTCTCAAAGTGCATAAGTCCCCAGGTTTCGGCATTCCTGCTAGGGTTCCAGTTCCGGGTCAGGCGAAGCAAATTGTTTCTGTCGAGGGCAAAAATACTTCTGCTGCTGCCTTTACAGGCTGTGAACTCCGGTAGAAAGTTCTGGTAGGTCGCTGTACATGGACTCCGGGCTTGCTTCTTCTTCTTTCTTTTTTTCCTTCTTCTTCTTCTTCTTCTTCTTCTTCTTCTTCTTCTTCTTCTTCTTCTTCTTCTTCTTCTTCTTCTTTTTAGCGTTCACCTGCAGTAAACTCAGGCGGAAAGTCTACTTGTTCGTCAATTTCTGAACTTTCGTTTTGTTCCAGAACGTAAATGCTGCGTGCACTTCCGTTTTACAGATCTTATGTGTATGCATAATGTTGGTTCCTGGCCTCTCAGACAGAGGCACTCCGACTTCAAACGAAGCCTTCAATTAGTCGACTCTTACGGTTTGTTCTGGGACTTCAGTGTCGCGCGCATATCCGTTTTCAAAATCTAGCTTCTTGTGTGCGAGCACTTTTGACTCTATTTATATCTTAAATCCGACGCGTGTGCGAGCTACTGCTCCCTGGGCTCTCTGGCAGCTGCGTTCCGACTTAGGAAATGGGGATCCTGTCCTCCCTGCCAAACACCCCGAATAGCAAAGAGAGTTTGTTGTGTGGTTAGTTATGTCGAGAAAGGCCTCGGCCTAAACGTCAATTTGTATGTGTTGTGCACATTGTTCTGTTTCACCGTTTTGTTAAGCTTTTTAGTCACAGTTCACTGATTTAATTTTACATGAAAGCAGGTTTCAGAATTACCTCTGGTGGAGATAAGTATTGAGGGTACAACTCACGTTTTAGGGCCCAAACAGGAGCCTGATTGGCCGTTTAGTGATGCGTCTTAACCTTTCGCGCGACTTTCTCTTATAGGGGTGTCAGGTTGCATAGGCTCTTACATCGCGATATACCGCGTTCCATACTACACCATGTTACCGCTACTTTTAACGACCCCATAACATCTACAACTGGCCCTTATTCCAAACCCCCAGGGGACAGCCTCAGCCTAGGTCCCACGAGAGAGTGCATTCTACGCCCCGTGGTTTCCCGAAAACGCTGTGTTGCTTCAGAAAAGCTATGGTATCCTCCTCGTCGCCCGTCACTATACAAAACAAAACAACTTGATAACCTTGTGACAGACATTCGGGCGTGTGAAGGATGAATGAACGGCCAGTCACGTCGTGTTTGGTCCCAAGTTAGTGAGTTGTTTCGTCTTGGGTTGTATGATCCACGTGCCTGGTCACACTGTAAGTATGATGCACCTCAGTACACCTGAGGATAAAACTAAATGTCCTACCCTGCACAGTTCGTGGCGACCACACTAGACATTGGGCCATAAATACACTATCATGCTCAACGCCCGCCGCTCATAGTCTTCTCTCGTCTAGACCCGAGACGTTTTGAAGAGCTATCTGGTTCGATCCTCGGTGTGGCTTCACACAATGGCCCGCTGGGCACTTGTTCGGGGGTCAGGTGTTGTGTATGTCAAAAGACTTGCTACGAGAGATAAAAATGTCAATCCTGTGAGTGGTTGCCTCAGGGGGCCCCAGCACATGTTTTGCCCAGGGTCCAAAATGCTGCCAAGACGGCCCTGATATTAGATTTTGGTATTCACGGCCTAAGTTATTTCATGTGTTTATCTTTTGCATGGACGACCTCTAGCACTATCCTAATCATCATCATCATCATCATCCTCATCATTATCATCGTTCCTTTCATCATCATGTGCTGTGCCGGTAAGCGTAGGCTGTCATGTTTCGCAATCTGACGCAATTGCCAGAATCATGGATCAGTTCAATGTTTTTGCCTCACCCCATCCATCTGGCCAGGACATCTAGGTATTTATCTCTTTGCCTTCCTCTTGCTCTCTGACCATCAATCGTGCCAGTTGTTACAAAGTTCCCGAGTTCATTGCTACTCACAATAGGTCTTAAAACATTGACTGTCTCCGTCCAATTGATCCAAGTTTATGACTTTCATATACCTGGATGAAGATTGCTTCCTTTGTTGTTCTATCCTTCCACGATGTAAAGTAAGAATCTCTTTTCACGCCTTTAGGTGCATCGAGCATATGGGAAGAGCAACCATATTGTTACAGACCAATCGGCACTAGGTGGGTACTGTGGTTAGCATTACGCTGGCCGTCTTCACTTCCCCATTACATACACTCTGGCACCCATTTTAGGCTGGGTCGACCTGCGACGCCCCATACCATGATAAAAATCATTGCAGCCAGCACTGGGTTTTGATCGCGGCACGTTGAAACAATGAATAGAACTCGCAATGCCTAAGCCACGGACGCCTACCTTTCCCTGATATGCAGAGATTATCATGGAAGGGTAGAAAAACAAACTTAGCAGTTTTCATCCAGTCAGATAAACGCGCTGCCTCACAGTCCAAAAATGTGGTGATTGTAGGCAGCAGCAAAGAAAGTCATTCCTGACCTGTAGATAAAACCAGCAATGGCTGCCCCGGTAGCTGGTCCAACCCAATAGATCCAATGGTAACTCCAAACTTCTGTTTTATGAACGACCACAGCCGGACCAAAGCTACGGGCGGGGTTCATGGAGGCGCCACTGACTGCTGCCCTGTAATCAAATTATATTTACATCAGAAGAATAATTTGTTAGTGCTAGCTATATAAACTGTTCAGAAAAAGAAATGCAGTCATCCGACGGCACGTTGTTACTGGTTGACGCAATAACTCAAACTCCTAAAAACTTTCGATGACCCAGATGCATAACAAACTGCCAATTGATTGGCTGGTCTTATGTGCAATTTGAACAGTTTCACTTATTAAATTAATAACATTTTGAACATCAAAATTATGCATAGCAAGGAGACTCACAAATGTAATGGATACACCCGTGCCTGTCGACTCAAGGATTCTGAGTTCTAATACGCATCTGTATTTATACTTTACAAATAGCATTGGCTTTAAAGTCTAACCAGGAAGTGTCTTAGAAAGTAAATGCTTTGCACACCCGTTTTACGGATCTAGCTTATTCGTGTGCAGACTATTGGTTCCTCACCTCTAAGACAGAAGCACTCCGAATTTGAAGGAAACACCGCTAATCAGTCAACTTTTACGACTAGGGGCAGCGGGTCTATTGTTTCCCCTCCACAGTGGGACCTTCGTACCCACAAAGGGAATAACCGGGACCGACACTGGGACCGTCGGTAGCCACGTGTGTTTATGGGATTTCATACCCACCGATGGTAAGGTGGCTTTTGTGTGAGTACATGTAGCCACGTGTGTTTATGGGATTTCATACCCACCGATGGTAAGGTGGCTTTTGTGTGAGTACATGTAGCCACGTGTGTTTATGGGATTTCATACCCACCGATGGTAAGGTGGCTTTTGTGTGAGTACATGTAGCCACGTGTGTTTATGGGATTTCATACCCACCGATGGTAAGGTGGCTTTTGTGTGAGTACATGTAGCCACGTGTGTTTATGGGATTTCATACCCACCGATGGTAAGGTGGCTTTTGTGTGAGTACATGTAGCCACGTGTGTTTATGGGATTTCATACCCACAGATGGTAAGGTGGCTTTTGTGTGAGTACATGTAGCCACGTGTGTTTATGGGATTTCATACCCACCGATGGTAAGGTGGCTTTTGTGTGAGTACATGTAGCCACGTGTGTTTATGGGATTTCATACCCACCGATGGTAAGGTGGCTTTTGTGTGAGTACATGTAGCCACGTAAATAATGGACAAGTGCCGTAAGTGTTCAAGCATGTTTTAAACACAAAGAATTCTATTGAAAAAGGCTGCCCAGCCGAAACGTTACGTTGTGTTGTTTTGTGCACGTTTTCCTCTTTCCCATTTTGTTGAGCTTTTTAGTCCAATTTCTCTGGAATTCATTGTATTAGCTTGACTGCAGTCACCCCCATAGTTTCACCATTTTAAACACAAAACATGAGAAATATCCCGGAGGTCACGATCCGTGTAAGTGCATTCAAATTTTTGTTTTAATCCAAATAAGTTAAAAATAATTACACTACAAAATATTAAAAAGTAACAAATTAGACCAGTGATTTCCAACCTCTGGGTGCGTGAGGAAGTTCTAAGGGGGTCGTCAACTAATCTTGAAAATAAGTGCCTCTGTACTTTCAGTGTTGGCGTCTGTGGCTTCGCCGGTAGCCGGGTTCGATCCCAGCTGCCCGCCTTGCGTTGGTTTCCACAGTGGTATTGAGAAGCAGACCATCCAGAAAGCAATGGCAAACTACTATACGTAAATTTGCCTAGTAAAAGCCAAAAAATGCTGGGGTTGATTCTGCAACGTACTTTTAATAATCCGTTAATATCAACATTTTTTTTTTTCCAGTTTACTTATAATTATTTTAAAGTATTTAAAAAACAAAAAGCCAAGGGGCTTTTGTTTTTATAAGAAGTTTGTACATCTACCGTTCACAATCAAATTAATATGATAACACGTGCAATTAATTATAGATTAAGAACACATTCCGACTCTTTTTGATCACATTTTGTTATGTTGGAAATACTGTCCGGGGTATGCAGAGAGTTCAAGGGAATAACCAGCGATTTTTTTTTTTTCTCTTGTCACTAGCAATAGCCAGAAAAACACTCACACTGAACAAGGAATATTCATAAACGACGTTGGCAAACACGACATTAGATTGATTAGAATATTTAAAGTTGTGAGAATTCGGAATTAAGTATGGATCGGCAAGAGAGGATGTATGAGAGTAGTAGTCCTCATAATCAAGTGCCTTGCCGACTGACTTTGGTGGTCATACCTCTCCACAATCTGCTATCTTCAACAGCATGTATCAGTTCGTGTGCTGACACCCTCCATATAATGACAAAATACTGACAAGAATCTTCTCGTGCTGTCTTCCTTTATATCTTTTCTACAGATCCGTCCAGTGGTCACCACTTGTTTCAGCTTCCTTCTTCTCATAATATGACCACATTGATGACCACCTCTTTCTTATGTTTGTGATAAGTTATCTTTGAGCCCTCGCCTCTTTCTTCTTCTTCTTCTTCCTCTTCTTCTTCTTCTGTAGAACGTGTGTTTATGCTACTGGAACAGTCAGTATAAACTTGAAGACATTTGCTGCGAGAGACGAATCATTTACCTGTATGCCCAGAATCGATGAATCTCAAATCAGCAATAACCTACCCTGCCAAAATATCCGCGGTGACGGCAAACCCAATTGCTAGGGGAGCCAGATCGCTCTTAGTGCTGGAGTCTACGGCTGCTAGAAGTACCGTAGAGACCAAGAGGGCGGTCAGAAGGATCTCGCAGAAGACAGCTTGTCCCGGTGTATGGTGTGCTGGCAATACATGCCCACCACCACCACATGTACCATAGGCGTCATAGCCAATAACAGCCTGGATAACATAGAAATGTTTAGTTAGTATGTTTCTAACGTCATCAATATTAATTTTATAGTAGGCATTTAAGGCAACAACGCTCTAAATATCATAGCAACATATCTACTTCTTCTTCAGCATTCTGAACCCTTAAGGTTCATTGCTGCAGATATCATCCGCTTCCACTCATCTCTCTGGTTGGCCTTTTCTTTCCAGTTGGTAACATCAAGTGTTTGCAGGTCTCTCATGTCATTATCTCTCTATCGTCTTCGACCATTCATCTCCCTTGTGTATACAGTTTTGAGCTCTCTGTTATTTGACATTCTCTCTTTTCTCTACTGTTATGAAGCATAGTAAACATTTTTTTCTAAAACTATTGTCACCATTATTAACTTCATAAAACCAACGAGAACACTAAATGTAAAGAAAGTATAGTTAACATTTTCTCTCTCACTATCATCATTACCATTAGTAACTTTATCGTAGGCAGAATAGCCAACAATGTAGGCTGCAACGGTCTCCAACATGCATTATTTCTTGTCCTCAATATACTCCAGTCATCTCCTTGTGAGATGCAATTTTTCGTTATTTGAAGCCCTACTCTGCCTCTTTATCCTCATCCACATGGTGGCACTTTCTGCTGTTAGTCCATCTCTTTTGGCTAAGATCAAAGTGTAGTTTGCAGCGCTGGTCTGACCAAGAGGACCGGGATCGGTGGCATCCAAATCACAGGTGAAACCCAAACGGCATGAGCTATCTTTAAAAAAAAACCTCATACCGGGCGGTTTCCCCGTTCAGTCCGGATTAGTTAGTTAGTTGCATATCCTTTACATGACGTTGCAGCTCCTGGCTGTTGTGAGGTTTTGCTAGACAAATTTACGTCCAGTAATTTGCCGTTACTTTCTGGACTTTCTTGATACCACTGTCGAAACCAACACAAGGCGCATGGCCCGCAGCTGGGATCGAACCCGGCATCCCGGCGTTACGAAGCGTTCGCATCGACTTAGCCACAGAGCCTACCAGTCCGGATTACGGATTTTAAATCCTCCGGGTAGTAGGGCGGCCAGGCCGGGCGTTTGGGAGACTGACCCGGTTTTAAAAAAAATCTTATGATGTTGTCTTCTTAATTGTTTCGTTGTCTAACTCGTGTTCTCTTGCTCTCGATCTTTCCCTCCAGTATGGTTTTTAAAAGCATATTATGTCTGCTAATGTTGAACCATCAAGCAAACAAGAAATCCTTAAAGCTATTCACACTTTAAAGAACAACAAAGCACCAGACAAAGACGAACTGCCAGCAGAACTTCTCAAAGTCGATCCCAACACATCTGCTAGCATTCTGGAACCATTGTTCAAGGATATTTGGGAAAAAGAAGTGTTGCCTGACGACTGGACTGAAGGAACAATAGTCAAAATTCCCAAAAAAGGAGACTTAACAGACTGCAATAATTGGAGGGGAATTACTCTACTCTCAGTACCAAGCAAAATATTGTGTAAAATCATCATAATGCGGCTTGAAAAAGGAGTAGATAAATGCCCACGAGTGGAACAAGCAGGATTCAGAAAGGGCAGAGGAACAACTGAGCACATCTTCGCTATACGTAACATTTTAGAACAATGCAACGAATGGCAGAGAAGTATATATATTAATTTTGTGGACTTTGAGAAAGCTTTTGACAGCGTCCATAGAGACGGTTTGTGGAAAATTTTACGACATTATGGAATTCCAGAAAAAATAGTCAACATAATTGCTCTCTTCTATAAAGACTTTTCCTGCAGTATAAAAAATTACAATACATCTTTCCTAGTAAAGACGGTTGTAAGACAGGGAATGTTATGTCATCTCTCCCCTGCAACCTTGTGATTGATTGGATACTAAAGAACACAGTAGACAGGATATTAAGAGGCATACGATGGACTCCATTCACCATGCTTGAGGACCTTGATTTTGCAGATGATATAGCACTCCTATCACATAAACATGAACATATACAAGAGAAAAGTAACAGACTAAACTGCACAGCAGAAATGGTGGGACTGAGAAAAAATACAAAGAAAACTAAGGTCATGACAAACAGTCCAAACCAACAACCAGTGACCATAAGTAACCAATCACTTGAAAATGTAGAACATTTCACATATCTTGGCAGTGTGATGTCCCTACTGGGAGGGACAGAGGAAGACATACAGTCACGTCTGAACAAAGCTAGAGCTGCTTTTGGAAGGATGAGGCAAATCTGGAAATCCAATAATTACTGCAGAGGAACAAAACTCTGACTCTACAAGAGCATCATTTTGCCAGTTCTTCTTTATGGAGCGGAATGCTGGAGAATGACCAAAAAGGATGCACACAAGCTATCCACCTTCCACCACACATGTCTACGTATAATTATCACAATTTTCTGGCCAGATACAATCTCAAACACTAAACTACTTCAAGCCACAAACCAAGAAACTTTAGACAGTATGATTACCAAGAGAAGATGGAAATGGCTTGGCCACGTTATGAGAATGACTTCTGATATACCTGCCAAAATAGCTCTCACATGGACACCAGAGGGAAAGAGAAAACAGGGGCGCCCAAAAACAACATGGAGACGAACGATGGAAAGTGACCTGAGTGCGGCATCTTTGACATGGAAAACTGCACTAAAAATTGCACAGAACAGGAAAGCATGGAAAGTCCTCTCTGAAGCCTCATGTGCCACTAGGCATAACGAGAACTAATGATGATGATGATGATGATATATATATATATATATATATATATATATATATATATATATATATATATATATATATATATATATATATATATATATAGTGGAGTAAAGCACTATGTTCCACTACCTAAGACATGTTAAGAATATACGGCTATATTTATATTTTATAGACCAATCGGCGCTTGGTGGGTAATGTGGTCAGCATCACACCGGCCGCCTTTACTTCTTATGACTGTACCTGGTGCCCACTTAAGGTTGTGTCGACCTGGGAGCCAAGATTATTTTTGAAATAAAGTCTGGTTCTGTCAGGACTCGAACCAACAACCTTCCCATCCTCAGGCGAGTGCTTAGCCGCTACATCACGACGGCTCCCGTATATATGTGTGTGTGTGTATATATATAATTCATGTTTGATGGAGTCGCCGGAGCGCAGTGGTTAGTTAACTAACTTGCGGACTGAAAGTCTTTGGTTCAAGACATACTATTGTTCATAAGGTCCCCGGTGGCCCAGGCCGAAAATTAAAACAGGGGCGCCCAAAAACAACATGGAGACGAACGATGGAAAGTGACCTGAGTGCGGCATCTTTGACATGGAAAACGAAGATTGCACAGGACAGGAAAGCATGGAAAGTCCTCTCTGAAGCCTCGGGTGCCACTAGGCATAACGAGAACTGGTGTGACTAAAATTCTTCAATTATCTCTTTTTTATATTATTTTATTTCGGCAATTCTTTTTTC